TATCTCTATGTGCCTTAGACTCTAAATTGCTCACATGTGTACTACACACCTTGATTTGAATTGCATTTGTTGTTGATGATGATAATGATAATTGAAATTGATAAGGTGAGCATGAAATACTGAATATGGCCAACGTGCCAAGAATGATCTCATAATTATGGCCATTAGTGCCAATGAGATGAAAAGATGTGAAAGTAATACAAAATGCGATAATTGATATAAAAAGGTTGATGTCTCAAATAAGACAGCCTAGTCGGTCGGGTCATGATCGGACACCATGCCGCACACAAGGTGGTGATTGTGCTGCAAATTTGTAATTTGAAATTGTGATTGTGGTCGATGTTCCTAATGGATAGCCTAGCCGATCGGGTCGTGATCGGACTCCGTGTTAAAGACAGTGGTATTGATATTGACAGAAATTGTGGTTGATGTCTCTAATCAGATGGCCTAGCCGATCGGGTCGTGATCGGACTTCGTGCTAAGAGTACGGTGGTACTGGTTTTGTGAATAATGGTATTGTGAACAATGGTATATCGATACTAAAACTCTCCCAGTGTGAGATATGAGAATTAATTTGAACACTGTCTTGATCCTAAATTGAGGTTTGATGTTAATTAAGGCTTTTATTGATATTATGATAATCTTGTTTGTATTATTTGTCATTCTATTGAGTATACATACTAGTGTTATTCGACGATACTAACGTCCCTTTTGCCAGGGGCGCTGCATCTTTAAATGGATGCAGGTGGTTTCACAGTAGGAGATATTGATCAGTGATAGCAGTACACCTTCTTCCCAGCTGACTTGGTGAGCCCCACTTCATTCCGGGGTCATGTATCTTTTATACTTTGTATATTCGGTTTGAGGTATAGCCGGGGCCTTGTTGCCGGCATTATCATTGTACTCTTATTTATCTATAGAGGCTCCGTAGACATAGTGTTGGTTGTGTATTGGTGTTGGGAAAAGACAAACTATGTTATGTTGTGGTTGTATTATTTGTCCATTTGAGACTTTAAAAATGATGAAACTATTGGAAATGAATTGGTATTGTAAACATGAACACATTTTCGTCTAATTAATGATAATATGTATTATCTCTATTTGTGGATGAGTTTGGGTAGAATAAAATCTAACAGACTTGCTCAATCGGGTTCACTCGGTTGAGCGCCGGTCACGCTCCTCGGTTTTGGGGCGTGACAAAACTATATGGGTAATTTTGACTCTTTTTCGAAAAAAGAAAAGAGAAAAACACAACTTTCTCCCGCTCTCAGTTTTCAGGTTTTTAAGGACACTTTTGGCCATAGATTTTGCCAAAATAAACTTGGGTTTTATTTGGCAAACACATATTTGGCCATAAATTTTGCCTACATTTTGGCCAAATCCCAAATCCTAAAACCAGCTCAATAGCTGGTTTTGGACCAAACTATCACTAAGATTTTGCCTACATTTTGGCCAAATTTCAAATCCCAAAACCAGCTCAATAGCTTATTTTGGGCCAAAATATCACTATTATATTTTTTTAAAATTTTTCCAAACTTTTGTATTTTATAAAAGAGCCCACCATTTATTATTTTGTAACGATGTTGCTTCGTCTTCTCGGTCATCTGATAGTGTATCATGTAGTTCATTATAAAAATGATAATTTTGTATCAAATTTATTTATGTTCAGTACTATGGTTTGCGATAATATAATGAATGTTATTGATAATGAGACTTTTGAGTATTTGTGATAGTTTTTAGAACTTGTTGGTATAAGTCATGTCTCATGTTTTTCCAAACCAAACTTCACCCAAAATATATGTCCAAACACATTTTCATTTTCAAACTAAACTTAACCCAAATCAGATTTTTCAAAATAAATTTGGGAATGTATAGCTAAAATTTAAATTGTCAAATTGGATGCTCTCTCTCTCTACTCCAATACTATCTGATCTGAACCCAAATGAAACACCAAGAAAACTAATAATCCAATTGGATCATACCAAAAGGGAAATGGCACAAGAGGCGCGACTGAACCTCCGAATGCAAAAGGAGCTTAAGCTCCTTCTCACTGACCCACCTCCCTGCGCCTCCTTTCCTTCTCTCACTTCTTCTTCCTCTCTTTCCTCCATTCATGCCCGTAAGTAATTTTAATTTGCCCTCTCTACTGTTTTATGATTTATCTGCAGAAATCTTAATTTCGTTTTTTCAATACTTCCAGAAATTGAAGGCCCTGAAGGAACTGTGTATGCTAAAGGACTCTTTAACCTCAAAATTCAGATACCCAAAAGGTTTTTCCTCAATCTTTTTTCTTCGGGTTCTTCTTCTTTATTTGGTGGTTGAATTTTTCAGCTTTATTTGGTTTTACACAGGTACCCGTTTCAGCCACCGATTGTGACTTTCGTAACGCCAATTTATCATCCAAATATTGACAATGGTGGCCGTATTTGCTTGGATATTCTCAATCTTCCTCCAAAGGTTAGCCAATTCATGATGGTTGGGTTTTTACTGCTCATTAGTCAATACATTAGTTCTTCAGTATATGTATAGCAATAACTGGCTTTTATTTCTGTAGGATCCAGTAAAAATATTACTATAATTTTAACTAAGCAATAAGGAATGATTTGGTCTGAATTCCTCATGAGCATCTAAATTTGGTAATGAAAAACTTTAATTCACTTGTATGATCAAATGGATGGATTAAAAATTCCTCTCAGAGCCGTGGGATTTGCCTTTGTCTTTGTTTATACTGTACTTTGCCTTCTAGATGTGGAAGCTAAAAAAGCATTGCAACTGTCATATATTCATATAGCAGTAGCATACTGCTGTGTCAAATCCGTGATACAGTGTGAAGTGAAGGGAATTTGAAAGTTGCCTTATTTTGGTGGAAGTATACATATCATTTGTTGTTGGTTTCAAAGTGTTGGCAGAAACATAATAGTTAGACCTGCATAAGTTATGAGCTTGTAGAAGTCATCAATGTCCATAACATCTGATCTGTTAATTGCTTTTAAGTCCAATCGATATTAATCCCTGGTTAAGATTGTCTGACATGGAATGGAATAGTTTGGACGCTGACTGCAACTAGCATTTGATATCTTTTATGTGCACCTTTCGCGTCTACGAGCAATCTGACTGCTTAGTGGATTTCACTCATCTCTATAGCTTATACAATTTGTTTCTTAAAATCATTTTTCTTAGTGTTTGAGTAAATATTAAGCTTGTGCTATGTATCTCTAAATTCGTACTTGGTGCGATAGAAGTGTACTAGTTTAATTATTTTCCTGAATAACGTATAAAGACTGGGCTTGCACAATATTTTTGAAGAAATAATGTGTGCAAGCATTCTTGCTCTTTTTATCTTTGTTACTCGGACTCTTCAAAAATGTTGTTGGGTGCGTGTCGGATCATCCAAATTTAGTGCATGTTTGGAGGATCCGACACGGGTGCGGCAGTACTTTTGAAGAGTCCGAGCAACATAGCTTTTTATGACTTCCCAATGAATCTACCTTATGTGCTGTATTCAAATCAATTCGTTGTTCTCAAATGATAATGTACATAATTTCTGCTTTTGCTGCTTGTCGGTTGTGCATCGAAGGCTCAAATCTTCTCTAGAAAGGCTTTCAAGCAATCATCGCATATATAACTGATCAAGTACTGGTATACATTTTTGCTTGAATTATCTTGTTGCACTTCATGCAAATGGATCTAATGTTTTAAGAGTCTTAACATGCTAAAATTCTACTTATGTATTACAGAATAATAGCTCAACTTAACCGCCAAAATTTCCATTTTTACTACTGTTTTCTTGAATCTCTGATATTCTACCATTTGGGTACATGTAATTTTTTATATCTACCATTCTATAATAACTTTCATAAAATTTTCAAATCTTAATGTCTTGACTAAGGTGGTGTACGACCAACCTAGGATTAAGTGGGGAGCCTTGACTAAGGCAAATGCTCAAGAGTTAGGGGAGAAGCTGTTGGCCATGGGGGCCTGGAGGAGTATTGGGGACGCGAGTAGTATGTGGACCACGACAGCGAACTGTATTAAGGAAGTTGCTAGAAAGGTGTTAGGGGTAGCGAAGGGTTATTCGGGAGGCCACAAAGTGGACTGGTGGTGGAATGAGGTGGTCCAAGGAAAAGTGGAAGCGAAGAAAGTGGCATATTTGAAGCTAGTGGGGAGAACGAATGAAGAGGAGAAGATGACGTGTAGGGAGTGTTATAAGAAGGCAAGGAAAGAGGCAAAATTGGCTGTCACGGCGGCTAAGACGGTAGCTTTTGAGCGATTGTATGAGGATCTTGGAGGCAAAGGAGGAGACAAGACGTTGTATAGGTTAGCCAAGATTAGGGAGAGGAAGGCGCGGGACCTGGACCAAGTGCGGTGCATCAAAGACGAAGATGGTAAGGTTCTGGTGAAAGAGGCGTGTATCAGGCGTAGATGGCAGGAGTACTTCCATGGATTCTTGAACGAGGGAGAAGACAGGAACATCGTGCTAGGTGAGATGGAAAACTCAGGGAGTCAGAGGGATTTTGGGTTTTGTAGGCGTATTAGGAGCGAAGAGGTTGTGGGGGCAATGCGGAAGATGAGCAGGGGTAAAACGACTGGACCTGGCAAGATTCTAGTGGAATTTTTGAATGAAGTGGGCCAGGCAGGCTTGGAATGGCTTATTGGGTTGTTTAATGTCATTTTCAGGACGAAGAAACAAAGGTGATATTCAGGACTGCAACAACTATAAGGTATCAAGCTGCTGAGTCATACTATGAAAATTTGGGAGAGGGTGGGGGAGAGGAGGGTGCAATGCGACGTAGTATTACTATTTTTTCGAGAATCGGTTCGGATTTATGCCGCGACGGTCTATTACAAAAGCTATTCACCTTGTGAGGAGATTGGTGGAGCAGTATTAGCGAGAGGAAGAAGTACCCAAATTCTCAAAAGTCAGCTTGTAATTACTCAAAGGAACTGAAATGTATTAAATTTAAAAGTCAAGACCTTTTTAATTGATTGAAGCCCTAATTTATGGTCTTTCCCAATTCTTTATCTTGTTCGCTAGTATGCTAATATCTCCCAAAAGCAACGAATATTCAATTTGTTTTTTACAAATACAAAGAGAACTTCATTCTCCTTCATAGCATCAAGTTCAAATTGCAGGTTAGTCATCCTTTTTGTTCCTCCATGTAAATTTTTTTATTCTTTTGGACTCAAGTTACTTGTGCTTGTAAGTAGCGTATAATAGATTGTTTTGACTAGTTTTTTGTGGG